AAGGAAGCGCTGGCGGATTTTCCGAAGCACAGCAGTTCGACGCGACACGTATGTAAACAGTTACTAATGGAAGCACCTGGCAGAGGCTTCAGCAAGATGCAGCACTAGAAATCGATTTCTAAAAAGGAGATAAACAAGATATCCTAGTCATAAATCAATGCTGTGATTTTATTATCATCCTCCAGGGCCAAAATTAGGCTCATCTAAAATAGCAGGCTCTCGTATCAATACTGTTAAGTCCTTTGGGAATTTAAAATGCAACTCTGAGATTCAAAGTTGTTTTTTTTAAGTTACAATTTGATCCCCAAGCTCATCTTACATGGACTGAGATCAAGCGAATGTAAAATGCTTGACTTGTAGATCATTTATATGCACAAAAGCCTATGGAACTGGCAAAGCTCCATAAATGTTTAAAGATATCTACAGCTTTTAAAGCAATCTATACGACCATCCAGACAAGGTCTTTAGCAGGTTTTTCATTTTTCAGCAAGACAATGCCAAGAACTATGCTGTATCTACAGTACATCGTGGCAGTGTGGGTGCTGGACAAGGGTTCCTTGATTACTAAATACATGCATTGTTTTATCATTTATAATTCTCAACAGCTTTGGCACTTCTTTCAAGTCGTGGTGAAGTCTGTATGGTTTCGAAACACTTAAGATAAAAAATAATGACTAAGCAACTGCTACAGTCATCTCCAGCCTCCCCGCTTCCTCTGAACAAAACTGAGACGCATTAAATCTCTTTGGACATATATAATTTGGACTTAACCACCAGAGCTAAATAACAATAATAAGCATAATTGATGCCATCCATCTTCATGGCATCCAAGTTCAGCTCAACGATTTTGTTGAATGGAAAGACAGACTCATGTCCAACAGCCAATTAGATTTGGTTAACAGGCCAAATCAGCCACCCCTCCCTTATAGCTGGCTTTCCATCACATTCTCAATCCAAATATGAATCCCCCCACCCCCTTTTCCCAAAACTCAGGAGCAACTCGAACGCTTTCAAACTTCCCTGGCTTTTAATTACTGCAAAATTAGAGTCGTTTCAACACATTTTGAAGCCAAACGCTTAAGCAAGGCTCTGTTTCGGCAGAAAAGCCTTGGAAAATGGGCAACCCAAAAAAAAAAAAAACGAAGCGGAATTGTCAAAAACGAGAGATGCCCGCATCGCTCATGAGCAGTGCCGGACACAGCAATGCCACACGACGGAACAAATAATAGTAAAAATAAGAAGAAGAATACGTCACTGACTGTTATTTCGGCAAGCCTCCGACACAGTTTAGCGTATTATTTATTATCTTTTTGTTATACAAAAACACTGAAGATGACCGCTAAGCAAATTAGTCCAAACTTAAAAAAAAAAAATGTCGCGCGGACAGGAGGCTAAAACAACATTCAGCTATTGTTACAGTCAACGGGATAAGCCCGACAAAAAAGGCCTAAAACAAATAACTTATTGTTCGCTGGAGCTATAGAGCACGAACGTAGTACGCCTACCGCTTCTTCTAAGTCTTCTTACCGGGTGGTGGACGGCCGTATTCGGTTCGTAGCCGAGCTGGTGTCGCTGCGGTCCGCGGTCCGCCCTCCGGCTCTCTCAGTGCCGCGTTCCACACACACGCGCCCCCTTTTTATCTGGTTCCATTTGTTGCCATATTCGCGCTCGTTCGCCTGCACGACCCCGCGAGCGCATCGATTGGCTTTGACTCCGACGACGTAAATCCTCCCGTTTACCAATGGTTTGTCAGCGCGCACGCGCTTGTACCATCCCACCGGCGTCCATTAGACTTCCACCCAGAAGAGAATGGAGCCTGTCATTGTTTAAAAAAATATTTTATTATTTTTTTAAAAAGGAAAAAAAAAGCCACAAGCCTCCGGCCCTTTGTACCTCAGTGCCTTACCAAGATGATCTCCCCCCATAGAAATAGTAGTGCTAAATGGAAAGTTTAATTGGAGTTTAAAGTTTTGTTATGTGTATTGCAAACATTTAAGGCATTTGATAAGTCTTGGTATAAATCGACGGTGAGCATATTTTCTTCATTATTTGTTTTCAAATGAATGTCGTTTGGCAATGTAAAATGTAAAAAAAAAAGTCTGATATATGGGATAAATCTATCTCGGGAGAGGGCAACAATGCACAGTGCTCCTTTCAGCAGTGAGAGCACCATATAGTTGATATTCCAGTATCATGTGGAAATTATTTATACTGTTTTGCGTTCAAGGCCAGACTGTGAAGCCCTTTGGAATCATTTCTGATGCCTTGGTTGTTGCCAAGGCAACAGCTGTCCTGAGTGTCCTGCAGAGATGAATGGATGTTCCAGAGCCCTTTTTTTTATTATTTCTTTCTTAATCTTTCTTCTCTCTTTCAAGTCTTTCATACATATTGAGTGTTGAATTGGATTTTTTTTTTTTTTAGAACTGGTTACTTGACAGCTTCTGTCAGACACAAAGTCTTCCACTGGCTCTCGGATTCTTCGTCAGATGCGTTTAAAGCCCGTGAAAATGGGATATTGTCAGTAGGAAATACAGTTCATGTGACATGACTGTTACTAATGCCACCTCCACTCCTGACCACGTAGTCATTTCCTGGTTCACCCTGCTAACAACTGGCAAGCTGGAGTCTGGTGACTAAACTCTGAGCTAGGACCCCCCCGGAGCCAAATACCTGTATGGAAACAACTGCAACCATCCTGCACTGATCCATACAGCTCTTCTTTTCTGTCCTCACTGTGTTTACATCCCTCATCTTCATACCACTTCTTTGCTCAGCTCTCTAATTAACAGCTACTCCCTTGATCTTTGTCAATTCACTCATTAATTAACATCAACACCAGCAAGAATTGTCATTCAGGACAGGCTTTGCAGTCTAACATTTTTCTTGATTTTTTTTCTTTTTTTGGGGGGGCGGCCAAAGCACTGCAACTCACTTCCAGTGAGATGTTAAACCATACATGCTGGGCCCTCCCTCCAATGAAATGCAATCACTGGAGGCGCGTAGCACAGATGTTGTACGTATAAATAATAATTCCTCTCTTTTGTTTGTGGAGGCAAATCACTCTGCGTTATACACAAAATATATCGCAGTTGGGGAGGCAGCTTGAGTGTGTTCCGGACACACGCAAACAGAGAGATTAAACCACTTAAACTGTGTGCAGCTGCATGGTTGATTTCTATCGCTTCCTATTAAACCCTGAATAGATAATGTTAGCTTTTTCTCATTCTTTCCTCCTGCCCCTTTGCTCACATCTGGCAATGTCACCAGTATGTGTGCTGAAAAAATTAATAGCGGTGGGTTTAGAAATAGCAAAGCAGGCAGGAAGGATGTTTTCCTGTGAAAATTATAGGCTGCAAGGCAAAACGTAGAGGGGAAAACACGTCGCTTTCTGAGCATTGCAAAAATAATATCTAAATTATTTAGCTTTGGCTCACACCTGTGTTTCTGACAGGGAGGCAGAGATTTTGTCCTGTTTCTCCTCGGCACTTTCCATCCCGCGGGACGCTTGGTGGCGGTTTGCCCTGCTGCTGTTCAGTGTAAAGTGGAGGCAGGAGAAAATATTTGGCAACAGACAGCCTCCATCCGTCTCGCGACACTCCGTTTACAACTTCAATTTCCTCTGGGCATCAATGTAGAGCTCGACTCGGTTCGTTTCGAAAGAAAGAAGAGAGACTCTGCCTTTGCTACATGGAAAGTTTTAATCAATGTTAGAAAACAAAATGCAGTCAAGAACTTATAAAACAACTTTCGAGAGCTTTTAAGGCCTCCTTAGTGTATGTGCGAGAGTCCCGATTGGGAGAACAGACATTCCTTGGGAGGAATGCATCCAAAATGTCAGTTTCTTAAAATACCCCCCCCCCACCCCCACCCCCACCCCCCATGATGCAGACATAAAAAGCAATCGAGAGACTGTACAAGAGGGTATTCAGGCTTTCCTGTCAAGGTTTCAGTGACAGAAGCAGATCACAGGACCTCCCCATCATTGGGTTATAGCCACTACAAAATGGAATATGAAGCCTTGGTATTGATTTAGTTATAGGTTGCAAAGGCCCTGATGATTTAACCCACGAAAAAAAAATACAAAGTCAAAAGCAAAGCCGATATCTCTGCTAAGAAAACAATCACATTGTGTGCTCTGAATATTTTTTTGCAAGTGAGATTAGAAAACCAGCTAGTGTGGGCAGGTTCTTTTTTTGTTTTCTGATTTTTTAAAGCACCCAGCGTGTAAAAATACAATTCACGACGTGACCTTTAGTTAACAATCAGGATTTGCTTCGCAGTGATCGGGAGTCGGAACTAAAGGCGCCTGCTTTCCCTTGGACGGTCCCTACGAATCTATCGCTCTGAGGATGACGCAACTGCGTGTGTGGGGCAAAAAAAATAAAAATCGGTTCGGCTGTCGAAAAGGATCTTTGGTGACAATGTAAACAATTGCGCCGGAACAAAGAGTACTACATCCTTAGGCAAGAATAATGAAAGAAAACAAAAACAACTGAGCACATACAAATAGGTCTTTACCTGATTCCTGCACCGCACTGTCAGAAGGCACATTTACGCCAACGCTGAGCTGTGTTTCGATGGGACACATGATGCTGCGGTGTACAATACTGAATGACTTTTCAGATCGCTTTGTGCTATCGATTAACTGAGACACAGTGATGAAGGAGATCCCTGCACTAATGAGGGCGCTTTGGGTTTTGAAAGTAGGGACAGACGAGTTAAAATATAAAAGATAGGATGGATGGTGGGGGTGCGTAAGAGGGCTGTGGGCGTGAGTCTCACGCATAAGGCACGTTAATAGGGCATTTTGTACTGTTTGCAAAACCTAAACTCGGCAAATATATATATATATGCATATAAAACACACTCATAACGTGCGGGTTTAGTTCAAAAGTGTCCCCTCTATGCGGGGGGGAGGGGGGGGCGCCGTCCCCCTTTAAAGGCACAGGACAAAACTACACTCAGTCTGCAGTCGCTTCCTTCCACTAGCCGCCTCCCCGCCCGTCAGCGCTCTACCACTGCTCCCAGCTGAAGTCATCCCCCCCTCCAAACACAACGAAGAAGCCGAGGATGGTGAGGAAGATCACGGCGTTTCCCGTCATCACCAAACCACAGGCCCCCCACGCGATCTGCGGGAGACAAGACGGCTTCGGTGAAATGACCAAATAAGAAAAGAAAAAGGCCTGTTTGGTTCTTTAAACAGTGATGATCTACACACTAAATTCACCCAAAAAAAAAATAATTAAAATAGACATCTTATTTCGTAATTATTAGAAACAATTTTGCAATAACGAGGTCAGGATTTCGTGATTACAAGAAACTACGACATGCTAGCACAACCAAAAATAACTCAATCATGGATGTCAGCTTTTGTGTTGCTAAGCAACGACGTCACATGCCAAAACGTAACAAAACCACTATCGTAAACAAACGTAATAAATAAAGTTTTTAATTTACTCATTTATATATGAATTCACCTCTTCGTTAGACGCGCAGTTTAGTGGTTCTGAGTGAAGCTCAGTGGTCCTGATTTCTTAACTACGACACCCTGATCTCGTAATTAGATATAAGGTGTCAATTTTTTTTTTTTTCAGTGAATGCAATACGCACCGTACTGATCTGATGTGTGTCACCAAAAGAATATAGAAACAAATAAATAAAAGTTTTGCGTAAAGCGGACTGACCGTTGTGTTTCGGGCCAGCACAATGGGGAGGCCAAAAGACGACACCACGATGCCCGTCGTTAGGAAGTAGGCCAGCTCTCGGCAGGCGTTGCTGGAGGAATCGGTGTCGTCGCTGAGGCGTCTAGATATGAAGGTCGGGATGGGGCTCAAAACGTAGAAGATGAGGACAAACAGTGGCCAGTAAACCCTGTAAAAAAACACACACACAAAAAGAACAGCACATATAAGGTGGCCGGTAGCGCTCGGGTGTTAGCCAAGTATGAATAGCTTGTCATAGTTGGTCTCAAGGTTTCAAACTGAACCACATTGACATGGACACACTTACAAATTCAAATAAAAAAAAAACTTTATTCATCCAAACTAGGCCAATTGAATTTGCAGCGTCCAGTCAGACACTACACAAAACAAAAGAAAAAGAGAGCAACACAAAAATAATAAAATAAATTTGGTGACATTGCTCTCCACATTCTCCACAGAATAGTACACCTAACACAGGCGCGCACACACACACATGAAAAGTGTGTGAAATCGGCAAAGCATTGCAGAATCCAGCAGTTGAGCAGTGTGAACTGTTAAACCACAGGCTTCTGCTGCAGGGATGGCACAGATCTTTACCGTTTTTTCCCCCTGGCGCAACAAACAGAAAGTCTTTCTAATACACTCTCTGCTAAAATGAAAAATGTAGCCAGTAGGACAAAAAGGGCTGTACACACGGAGCCGGTGAAAGGGCCAGGTGTTTGGGAAAGGTCTCGCCGTTCGTCACAGGCCGGTTAAAGAGGAATGGCCTCACTCCAATTGGGTTGAGTTTCCTCTGAGCAGTTTGAGCCTTTTTTTTTTTTTACCTCTGATGACTAATTGATGTTAAAGGGGGTGTGAGTGGCTCATTCTGATATTTTTGTTTTAGATTTGTAGGATTTTCCAACAGTCTCTAGTACCTATTGTGATTTGGTTTTGGATTCAATTTGTAAGTGCATCTTAAACTGAAAGACATCTACTTTTGTTTTTGATTGTCTTGTTTTTTATCATTATATATAATAAAATAAATGGACAGAAAAACAAAAAAAATATTTAGAAACAAAAGACAAAGCACAGAAACACAACAGAACATTTGAACTTAGTTTGAAGTTTTTAATTAATATAAAAATGTCTTGCAACTAGCTTTTTCTTGAATTATTGATTATGAGATTAATTTCTTAACAAATCTTTTATGCTTTTTTTAAACCTAGGAGAAGAAGGGGAAGAAGTGGGAAAGGGAAACATAAGGAGAAAACAACTAAACACTGCACGCATAATTAAAAAAAGACAAACTTGTGTCATGTTAAGCATGGAATTTAAAAAAGAATAAATAAAACTGATTTTATTTCCATTGTTTGGACACTTCCACGTTGATTACTTTTTACTTAAAAATTGAAACTTGATCTATCTTTCTATTTTCCACCTTTCACAGATTTTTCTACCTTGTTGAGGCACTCCTGCCTTTCGGGCTGTCGTTTGCCCTTTTGGCTTCAACTTTTTCCTGTCTTGCTTTGAGTTACTTTACTTTAACCCCGTTCTAAACTTGATGTACGGCCAGTGGAGACATCTGTACATCCCTAAATATGACAAGAATTCCTTCATGCCACAGAGCTGCTGGGCTAAGCTGACCTAAATCCCACAGAAGACATACCCGTATTGTTCCAGTGCACAGCCCAGAAGAAGAAACGTCAGTCCAATGGCACCGCTAAATGACAAACCAACAAGTGCTGGGGAGGAAAAAGGAGAAAAGAGGGTGGGAAAAGTTTTATATAAATTTAAAAAAATCAGATACATTCCTTCTTGTTCAAACAGAGACGTTACAAAGTGAAAACAAAAGTGCATTTAAGGCCAGGCTCGCAGCCTTCTCACAAAGCTGCTAGCTAACGGTTACGATATCATTACAGCACAGCGACACTTTAAAAACTATTTTAACACTTCAGCTGGAAACAAAACAGACCGAAACAAGATTATGTTGTCGTGAATGAGCGACAAAGTGGCAAGTTTGAAATGATTCAGCAAAGGCTGCTCGAGCTGCAACATGCTAACCAAGTTTTTTTTCCTGACGCAGGGAGAGCTCCAAACGTCAACATTCAGCTCTCCTGAGTCATTTGTGCTGGTGTAACAATACCTTTAATGCCGGCCATCGCCACAAAAGCGTGAAAAATGTCCCTGAATAGTTTGACTCTGCTTTGCTGTGTAATGTTTATGTCCCAAGTCTCTGCGTCTCCGTTGAGGAACTTCCTGCTTCCCGTGTCGACTTTTCCTTTTTTTTCTCTTAAAGGGCCAGTACCACAGTTATCACATGAGGCCTCTCACCATCGTGTTTCTTTTTTTTTTTTTTTTTAAAGTTTGACCTATTGGCTTCATAGCAGAAGCTATGAGACAAAAAAGGGTCTTTGTTGTGTATTTAAAATGTTACAATTAAGTTATTTGAACCCCTCCATCTACCCATCCATTTTCCACCGCTTTTCCGGGGTCGTTTCGCAGGGGCTGCAGTCGAAGCAGGGAAACGCAGACTTCCCCCTTGGCCTGTCACCTTATCGTGGTGGAGGGGTTTGGGTGTCCCAATGATCCTAGGAGCTACGGTGTCCGGGGCTTCAAGCCCCTGGTAGGGTCACCCAAGGCAAACGGGTCATAGGCGAGGGATCGGACGAAGCGCAGCCCAAAGACCCCTTATGACGATTCAAATAAAGGGACCTAGTGCTCCCTCGCCTGGACGCGCCCCCCACTCTGGAGCCAGGCCTGCAGGTAGGGGGCACGTTGGCGAGCGCCTGGCCTATGGAGCCCATGGAGCCCGAAGAGGCCACATGGGTCCCCCTTCCAATGGGTTCACCACCCATAGGAGGGGCCAAAGGGGTCGGGTGGCGGCAGCCTTCAGAGCCAAAGTCAAAGAAAAAGACTTAATACATACAAACACATTTTAGGTCCAAAGATAAATCCACTGTCCCTACTTGAGCAAAAACTAGTTGAGGTATTAAACCTATCAGGCCCTAATAATCCCATATATCTTGGTAAAAGCAAAAATGGATGCCAAATAAAAGCTTTTGGTCTCGGGAAGTCAGCACCATCAGTGTAATAAAAGGCTCACCCTTTAAACCACTACAGCTTGTTATTGACATATTAGTTTAGTTTTATTGCCACTCAGGTGTAGCATGCTCCCTCAACTCTAATCCCAGTGAGGAGCGCACAGCCCCTATGGCCTTGTTTATCATCCATGTTTCCAGGATGTGACTCGTTCTCAATTGAGGAATTTGCATAGTACTGTACAAAAAAGCCTCGAGGGATCATCAAGTTTTTGGGATGGAGTCAGCCAAAAAAGGCCCCTTGATGTTAAATGTCAAACAAAACTTTAACATGACTTCAACTGAAATGTGTAAAAAAAAAAGTTTGCAAGGTTTTTATAACCATGAGAGCAAAAAAAGAGACCCGTTAACCCTATTTAGGTGAAATGTGCCGAACTGGTAGTCAAGGCTGGCTTTCAAATATACTTAATATTGAACAGTAACCCACATTTTTATACCCGAACTGATCATTTTGTGGGGACATGTGCCAACTCATTGCAGACGGTGTGTGTGTTTTAATGTTTGTCATGAATTCTGGGTCATTTTGTGAAGTTGTTGGATTTGTCTTGCTTTTTTCTGCTACTGGGTTCTTGTAAAATTGTGAATCTGGTGATTTCTTGTTTCTTGTGTGTGTGTGTGTTGTGTGTTTTCCATAGGGGATTGTTCGTTGCTCCCATTTTCTTACTTTGTTTTTCTCTTCTCGGTTTCTTCTTTGCTCTTTGTCACTTTGACCCCAAGTCGCTCGGTCTCCCTTCAGCCTGTCATCTGTCACTCTTCTCTGTACTTTAGCTCTCTAATGTGTTCCCTCCTTTTCAAATCCTTGTCAGTTGTCGCGACTCGTCTCTGCTGTCCATCACTCATATCGGTCAACATTGCTGTCTTCTCCCCTGGCTTCTGTATTTGCCTGTGTTAAACTATATATTGTTCCCCAGTGTCCCTCTATTGTATGATGTGGCAACCACAGACTTTTATGAAAGAAAATTCCATCATGGTTTTATTTGTACACATTTCCAGACCTATGAGTGTGTTTCGGAGCCTTTCAGATTCTGTTAATCTGCTTTAGATTGTTTTTTAGGCCTTTGCCCTCCACTTGTCCTCTCAAGAACACACTGCACAATAAAATTGTGATGTGCTAACTTTTTAGGTGGTGTGTGTTTTATTATCGCCTTCTTACTCTGAGCTCTAAGTTGTCTCTCATCTATTTGCATGTTCATTCTTTTAACTTTGTGTGTTAATTTAATTTATCTGCTCTTTTGAATTATTATTATTTTTTTGTTAGAGTACATTTTGTCTTCAAGTAAATGTTTCTGCTGTTGTAATTAGTTTGCTAAAGTTTAACCGTTGCTAATTCTGACCCACACTGGTGCAAAAATAACATCTTTTGTGTGTCAAACTGTCTTATTATTTCCATTTTACTTAAACGTCTGTCATGTTTGGACACACCACTGTTGTATCCCATGAGTTGGGAGCATTACTCATGTTTATACCATTTATAGGTTATGTGGCTCAAAAAACAGGAAACACGTACCTCGGAAAATAGTCAGCTTTAACAGATGGACCAAAAATGAGTGAAAAAAGTAGCCAGTGTCTGAAGAAAACTATTGAAACACCTTCAGAAACCCTGGGGAATCATCAGAGGAGATCACTTTGAAAGACAAGTCCGGCTATTCTTGATTGTTTCTCATTGCTGCTGAATTTTTAGGGTTATGCATTTTGCTATACATCTCAAATTGAAGCTCATTTCAATAACTGCTAACTTTCATCTACCTTGCTTGTTTTTTTTAGGATCTCCAGTATTTGACAATGTAGATAAAGCGAAAACGTCCACTTAGTTTGTGACAAAACAAACAGTTTGCACGCATATCTCTTGATTTAGTGAAAAGGCCTGAGATACCGAAAATACTGGTGAGACTAAAACTCCCTGTAAGATGGTCGCAGACTAGCCAGAGCAGAACTCAGTAGGTTCCCCACCCTTTCTGCCCCAGGTTCAGTTTGGAGGTGAGACGGGGACACATCGACTGTGGTGGACTTCAAAGGGCATTTGTGATCACAGAGCAGGTCCAGATGTTGTCGGACTCCCGCTGTCGCTGTCCAGATGGAAATCTTACCCATCGGAGCAGGAGGAAATCCTCTCATTCTGTGCCCCTTGACAGTGTAAATGTTTGCTAAGCACAGACAGCACAGCAAAAAAAAAAAAAGTAAATCCAGCTCCTCGTGATGACGCTGGGTAATCTTATTATATGGTGAACAATGGTCTAATGATGCTTTGTGTGGTTCTTTGTAATTTTCAGGACTGCTGATCTCAGTGGGTGTATTTTGTGTGTCTGTGTGGCTTTGTGCGCGCCCTCCTTCAGGCTGGCATGTTGTCACTCATCCTCACAACTCCCACATGCGCAACCTTAGTTTGAGGCTATTCATCGCTGATGAGCTGTAATACCCCTAAATTAAGGAGTGTGGGTTATCCAAATAATAATTTGAGAGTTAATGGCGGGAAACGCCCCGTTCTGTTTTCAAAAATTGAGCACCGGCTGCACCAAGAGATGTTGTTTCTTGAGAGAGACTGTACGCCGCTTTCCTCGTGATCTTGAAGCCAGCTTTCCAGAAAACTACAGCACACATCCTGGATGTGTCCAGCCACACTTCCAAAACAACGCCAAAGAGGACACCGCAAGAAAAAGGCCCGTAAAAGTGGGAATGAAACCACTGCAGTGTTATGTCATGATTAGTTGTGATCACAGGGCTGATGGTTTTGAAATCCCACAGCTTTTTTTTTGTTGCCAGTGACTCATTTCTGCAGTTTAAGGGAGAGAAAAAAAAATGGCACAGACTAAGAACATGGTCGGTTAGCTGCCGCGCGTATGAGAGAAACACACAAGCAACGAATGAAGCAAAACCAACACAGTTTAATGAGTTACAGATTCCATTTCATTCAGTTAAATTCACTCTGTTGCACGAAATGCAGCCACTCTAACATATGCTGCTCTGTTTAGATGTATATATATATATAAAAAAGAAGAATACATTTTTAAAAAAGAGACATTATGTAAGGGATGCTGCGGGGATGTGTAGGGAATCATGTAATGATGGATGGGCCACTCCGACCTGTCCTCTGATGAAGCTGAGAAATCTTTAGAGCAATGGTAGCAAGGGGTGCCAGCATCACCTGTCCCAGACAAGGATGATGAGGTTAGAGGTGAATGCACCTGGGTGCTGCAAGCCATTCAGAATATTTCTTTTAGTGCAATATGTTCTATGAAACAAAGAAAAAAGAAAAAAAAAGGAAGATTGTTTTTATGTGTCTGAACCTCGGGAGAGCTTTTCTGGTCCTCGCCAGGTCAATAAATGACACGAATGCATTCTCAGATGAACAATAGCGCATGACCTCTTCCTCTTATATTTGTTCAACAACAACCAGAACACAGAAGCTGTGTGAGTTTGTAGAACAACCTTTGGCAGATTTGACTTGATATAGCAGCTTTCTGTTTGCTTACAGTCTGTAAAACTATTTGAGACATTGTTTCAGGTCCCACCACTGGGTGAAATCAGATTTAAAGTGCTTCCATTTTTTTTGGGGACGGTTTTTTATGCATGTTTCGGTCATTTGCAAATTAATCTTTCCGGATGTTTTCTTTGCATGAAGAAGTGACGTTCTCCTGTGACCCTTTCAAAGAAATCATACCTCTTCAGTCTCTTTCCAAATGTACCCTCGTGCTCTTTACAGATTAAGTCTTTACGTGATCTCTCATCTTTACATGCAAATGAGCTCCTGTGGAGTCTGAGATATTTTTTTCTGAGCATCACGGTCTAACCTCAGGATGAAATCGCCGGGATGTCCGGTCATAGGAGGATTGGAAAGTTGCAAATTGAAAGATTTCTCTTTTTTAAGTGGCATTTCTCTCTGTATGACGACGAGCTCCAAAGAGTTTGCAAATGGCCTGGTAGCCCTCATAGATTGATGGCTAGCATTAATTTCTTCTCTGAGATTATCACTAATTTAGTTTGTCCTTGGCATTGTGTCTGCACTTGGGAATTTTCCTGACTACCAAGCTAAAAAAAACAAATTATTCTTTTCAAGAGTTGCTCATACTTGATGATGACCTTCTAATCGAGCACATTTCAGAGAGATGTTACCAGCTAATGGCTGTTACTTACCCTCTGAATACCAGTGGAAGCAGCAAGTGTGGAAATATTTTTTTTATGCACATGCTTAACGATTTTTGCTCTCATATTTGAATTAATGGCAATGTGTAAAAATAAAAGTTGTGCCTCGTTGTTCATGTGTGGTTCTATTTATCTGACAGGAAGTGGGGTTGTTTTGTTATTGTGTTACAGACAAAAAGATGGTGTGCATTCTTTTTTTTTTGCCTGGCTTTAAGTCGTGCCCAATTTTCCAAGTTAATCCCATTTTGACCAAAAGCCTTCATCATTTGGTACTCTACCTGCGTGTTCTCAAGAATGAGTTCCTTCTCATAGCTGTCAATGTAGATCCGGACTGTGGCTCCGCGAGTGCTCGTCCCACTGATTCTGTAGATAATTCGAGAGCCATCAGAGAAGATAATCCGCAGTCCCTGCAGTGAAAACAACCCGGTACACTCAGTGGGAATCTTTTTCCCGGCACCGATGAGCGGCTCTAATGCAGGAGAGGTGCAAATATCCCCCTAATGACCAGACACATGTATCAGTACACATAACAACCCTGTTTCCATAGAAATGCAGCGCACGGACCTGGTTCCTGGTGATGCTGCTGTCCACAGGGTCCGTGTACTCAAAGTTGTCTGCTTTATCGACTTGGTAGATTTTGTCCTCCACCGCAAATCTCTGCTTCACAAAGGACTTGTCCGTGATCATTACCTCCAAATCCTCCATCATGTCACAGGCCGCATCTATGTCTACGCCCTCGTAGTCGTACCTGGGCAAAATGATGTGGAAAGATCAATGAAATTGTTGTGGTTGACATTTTTTAAATATAGCACTTGTTTCATAAGGATTCTTTGCCATGTTGAAGTTACTTCATGTTTATGACCAGAGCTGGCCCTAGGCATACGTCAACCACTTAGGCCCCAAAAGTGCAATGAGAATCTGTCATCTTGTTATTTTCTCCTTTTATTTATATATTTTTTGGGCAAATGAGAGCAATCATTTCTGTAATCAAAGGCATATTACCAGACAAAAACTCGATTTCCTGTAAACAAAGAGCTGCTGCACTGACTCCTGCTCATTGTGGGAACCCTCCCATTTTTTCTTCTTTCTTATTCTTGTTCTTCTTTCTCGGCAAACTGTTTTTGCACATCGTTTTTCATATTTGTTTAATGCAAAAATCTTGAGCCAATGTCAGGTTTGCAGTAAAGGCGTGTCTATTACTTGATTGCGTCACTCCAAGTATTAATTTTTATTTTATTTTCTTAATCTGTTGTCTGCCTCCACGCCCTTCCACAATCTAGCTCCAGCTAAAGTTTCCTGCATCCAGCGTTAACTCCCAGTGAGAAGATGAAATGGGTTTAATAAAGGTGTGTGAATGATCCATGATAAGCTTTAGTGGCAGAAATAAGGGGATCTTAAAATCAAATGTTACTTAGAGGCTTCATGAAGGCTCTGTTTGTGTCTCAGAAACGGTTTTTACATTTTTTTTTCATCCAAAAGCAGACTATGCAGTGACATATTTTGTCCAGTAGGTGGCAGCCTAAATGTGCTCCATGCGTTTTTTGAAGCTGCTTTGCACTGTTTTGGAATAATTAAGCCACTTTCCCTGTTCAGTTCTTTAACTTAAGCTGTTCTGTTGGCTAGCAAAGTAAAGCAGAACACACAAAACAACGCTGGCGTGAACTTGGGAGCCGATGTCCCACCTGGTAAAGTAGTTTCTCCCATATTTCAGCCAGTGGCCCTTCAGAATATCTTCCACGCTCTGCCTTCTGGTGGCAAGGATGGACAGCCATGCCAGCATGGCCCACAGCCCATCCTTCTCACGTATGTGGTCTCCACCTGACAAGTGAAAAGTGCAAAGCTTATGAATCGCAGCAAGCGTGGGACTTAAATGAGTGATATACCAACAATCTGCAGAAAAGAATGGGTACCTGTACCAAAGCATTCTTCCCCACATAAAGACAGCATGCCTGCATCCATGAGGTTACCAAAGAACTTCCACCCAGTTGGAGTTTCATAAACCTCTATTTTAGTTGCTTTGGCTACTCTGCAGGAAATTCAACGAAAGAGTATTCTAGGAAACCACGCTGTACTTTTAGAAGCACAGTCAACAAACACAAGCCAATGTGAACGAGCTGCGTAGATAAGAGCTTAATTTGAGAAAAATTCGACTAGATGTGGCGATGATTTGATTTGTATTTTTTTATTTACCTGTCTATTGCTGCGCTCGTGGGCATGCTGCGGGCGTATCCCCTCACACCCGTGTGCTGAAAGTATGGGATGCAGAAGATGTTGTCAGCTATCACAGCCAAGGAGTCTGACGGCGTAACGAAGAAGCCGTTTTCACCCAGGATCATGTACCGGTCCTGATGCAGACAGGAGTTTGTTGTTTTTTTAAAGCAAAGCTGTTTGATTTTCCATTAAAGCTGTGCTTGATGAAAAAATGAATAGAAAGGAGAAAAAATACACACCCCATCTGCATCAAACGCTGCCCCGAAATCATACTGTCCATCTCTCATGGTGTCAACCAGTTCTGAAGCATAGGTGGGGTTAGGGTCTGGATTCTGACCCCCAAAGTCTTCCATGGGGACGCAGTTAATGGCCGAATTGGCAGGACAACCCAACTCCTCACAGAGTATTCGCTTCACGTATGGTCCAGCCACTGTGGCAGACAGCAAATGAGAAGAGACTGATGTAGGGACAAAAAGTGATTGTGAATCTGTTTTTTTACAAAGACGGTGGCATGGCTGTCTAAAGCAGCAGTCTCCAAAGCCGGTCCTGGACAGCCTGTCCTTCGGGTTATAGATCTTTCCCTACTTCAGCGGGCCTGATTCACATCAATGCGCCAATGGCAGGCTTGTAACAACAAATCCAGCTCTGCTCTGCTGTTCATTAGTTTCTGTCCGAGTGTTTATGGAAACTCCGAATAGATCCACTAACTCATCAGTCTAAAATTATAGTTCCAGTGGATGCATGCTACTTCTTCAACATAAGAGCAAAGCTAATCAACAACATTTCTGTCCTTTTTTTGTATTCATATCGTGGTGTTTTACAGAATCTATCTAGATTTTCACCGTAATGATATATAGATATTATAAATAACACTGACATGATGGATGGATGGCAAATAAAGTAATAATCTAAGGAGCTAAAATTGCATTCACACACTCCTTCACTTTTACGTGATGAGTTAAAAAATATTCCATTCTTTTATTTTTTCTATAAAATGCTATAATTGACTAAATGAAATAGTATACTACATAAACAGAAGTGCAACACAAGACTTCCTCTCAGATTACACCAGTGATGAGCACAGCAGAATCCCTTATCCTTCAAGGTTACTTCTTTGTCTGAAGTCTTCGTCTGCCCTTATGGACTAAAAACAGCATATGATATCATTTCTGTAACTCTCTTGCTGCATAGTCCTTCTTAAAATGTGTCCATTTTAACTGTTGGTGAGCTCATATTCCCCGATTGGAGGGAAGAAAAGCGAAGAAAGGGAAGAAAATGTTTGCATTTCATCCTCCTTTCTCTCCAATTTGTTCTGGCCCTTCACCTTAGACATCTCCTCTTCAGATCATCTTAATTTCCGGTCTTTCTCCGGAAATTGCATTAGGAAATTGGTAAAACAAAAAGTTGCAATCTCATGTTGTCTCATAATCATTATGATAACTGTTATGTTATCTATCTACTTATCTTATTTAGGAGGAAAAAAAGTGTTTTTTAATAAATACTTTTTAAGTTATTGACCACCTTGGGGAAAAAAGGAGATTTGGATATTAACATGAGATTAAGCACTACGTTTGAACTCATATGTATCTATAAAACTTATTAACCCAATCCACGATAAACAAAATAGCCGCAGACTCAAAACTGATGGACGTTTTGATGGTAAATTTCTGCTCACCTCCGTGCATGGCATCTAGTCTTATCTTGATGTGGTTCTCACCAGACAGAAGCTCCTTCAGTGCAGCAAAGTCAAAGATGTTCCTCATCAGGTTGGCGTAAGACTCCACCGAGTCCACAATTTCCACTGGATGCATCCAAAAAAAGGGATATAAAACCATTTCAGAAGCCAAAGAAACGTTTTTTATTCATACTTGCTGCCTCATAAAACTGAGTTTCAAACTGTATTTGGAGAAGTCTGTTAAATATTAGCATTTATTCTGCAGACTAATCCAAATGTGGTAGTGGCGAAAGATGCAATACTTTTAAAAAAATAGAATAAAATAGTGACCACTGACCACCCTTTCGCAAATCCTCCTTTACTTTTTTAGTTTTAATGTCAAATGACTGGCGCCAGACCAAAGCTGCACATCACCTGTGAAGGGTTTGAACTTGTTCTCCAGATCGAAGGTCTGTTTCCCCAGAGTTTTCAGATCCACTCTCAGTTCGGGGCAGATGGCGAACTCCTCGATGGTTCTGCTGATCTGAAAGATCTTGTCGTTGACCGCCTCGTTGGCTGGGCCTGGAAGCAGAAAGGTGCACATCACACTGATGTGCCGATCATTGTTATCCTTCTTTTACATGCCTGAACCTTCCCCCATATTTACAACAACAACCAGACTCCTGACTTTCTCTCTGGCTCAAGCCACTCATCCAAAGGAAGCCTTGGACTCTTAATGTCGGCCTTCTCCCGTAACACTATTTCGCACTGGGCCGATGCCCCTGCATGCTCCCTCCGCTCAAATGACCATACCTCCGTTTGCCGTGTTAAACTTAATGCCAAAGTCTCCCTCGGGCCCACCGGGGTTGTGGCTGGCAGTGAGGATGAAGCCACCGATGGCTTTGTACTTCCTGATCACGCAGGAGACGGCCGGCGTGGACAGTATCCCACAGTGTCCGATGATCAGACGGCCAACCTGCAGAAAAGTCACACAAGTTTGCATTTTTTGGGGCCAGGGAACCCAAATAATTAGGTTGTGTGTCATGCTCAATACATGACAGCCACAGCTCACCCAAAAACAGGTTCCACCATGTACAGTTGCTATATCAACATCCACAATTCAATCAGTCAACCAAGACAGCACCAGGCACTCAGTGTTTGTGTCATTCCAACATGGAGGCTGCTGCTGGCAACAGCTTTGAAAACAGAATAGTTTGATATGTTTAGCCGAACGTGTCAGGAGCCAAAAGATCCCCATTAACGCTCCTCTTTTTTTTGCCGGTCATCTATACTCACTTCCAGTACTTCCCATCAGTTTGTTCTGCTACTGAAGGACTTTTTGCTCTCCTCTTTATTTTGCATTGCTCATAAAGCTTAATTCAACTGTTTTAATGAGGTTACTGAGCCAACTCTATGAACATTGATCTGAACAACGTATAGATATGAACGCTTCCTCTATATAAAGAAACCTTTCATGATAGAAAATTGCACATGATGAAAAGAAAGAATGTGATTATCTTTTTTTTTCACCCATTGCTACACAGACTGGCTGTTATTCAGCATATTATACAACAGACCAGCTGAGTTTTATCTGATAAAGAGAACAAAAATAAAAACTACAAGATGATAATGTGAATGAAAAGTCTCCAGAATGTTTGAGAAAAGATAACCTATTCCAATTTATTATTACTGTAATAAAGATAATAATTTCAGTCTGAATATAAATATTTAGCTTACTAGTGATATTTAAATTATTAAAACAATAAATCCTGTCAATAACAACAATAATCATTTAAAAAAGATAATACATTTTTATAAAATATGGCAAATGTTGATGATACCAGTAAAAGTAATGAAAATGATTATGATCATTTGTGCACTTAGTATTTAAATAATAGTTGATATTAACTGTGATAATGATAATTAAAAAAACATTACAATTATCTTATGTTTTCAAATCAAATTGAATTTTCTTAATTATTTTTAGAAAATGATAATTTCAAGAATTTAAGATTGATGAATTAAAATATTTTAATATATTATTGGAAATAAAATAATGCTGTTACTGTACAATGATTACTATTCATATCATTATTGATAGTAGTAGTAGTTCAAACTGATCATTGAACGAATAGTTTTTTTCATTGTTTTCACATTATCACTGACAGAGATCAAACTAATGGTGTTGGTTGTAACTAGAAATGATTTGTTGATGATTAAATTATCTAATTCAACCTTCCATACAACAAAACTAATCTAATAGGCCTCTCAGTTATGTCAGCTGTGGAGCACATGGAGATCATCCTGTGTGTGAGCGCTTCTGTTTGCTGAAGACTGAAATGTGCCACGTCATTTTCCCACATCCCGATCTGATCGCCCCCCCCCCCAACACAAGCTTGTGTCAGAAGCTGCAGCTGAGTATGTCACCAGGCAGGTCACCCAACCGGTCAAAACACGGGCAGAAACATGCAACGGGGCGAGTGGGGGTGGGGCACTGAGATTCAGACACACACTGGTGCGCGCCCCCAGCCACTTATCAGCACGCACGCACACAAACAAACCCACAAAACGCAGGCAGCTCCACGCCCGGCCGCGGCCCTCACCCCGTTGGCAGCTGCCATCTGCACCACCACCTCGGCGGCCGCTCGGTTGAAGAAGCGCCCGTCCCCCCCCACCACCACGGTGGAGCCCTGGCGGTCGCGCAGGTCGATGGAGGAGAAGATACTCTGGATGAAGTTGTGCAGATAGTGTCTCCTGGACTGGAACACGTACACCTTCTTCCGCAGGCCGCCCACGCCGGGCCTCTGGTCCGGGTAGGGGGCCGTGGGGACGGTCAGCACCTGCAGGGGACTGTTCTCCATTGTTCCGACGCGAGCCGCCAACCCAGTGTGCTGCGTGGTGAGCAGAGGGAAGCTTTCATTCAGAGGAAATCCCCTGTCATTTGACATGAGGGGGGTGGTGGTGGTGGTGGGGGGGGGGGGTGGAATGGCACAGAGGAGTAAGAATCAAAAGGCAAGAGCTTGGCTCCTCCTATTATTTCACTGGAGGCTCGGAGTAAGGCTCAAAATAACCTCTCAAACTAATGTGTTTGCAGAGGCCGGGATGGGGGGGTGGGGGGGGGGGGGGGGGGGGGAGTAACTGAAGACGCTCCTTCACACATGTGCAGGGAGATCACTGTCAAGGCATTGGGCCCAGTCGCAAATGAGTATCTGTGTGTGTGTGTGTGTGTGTGTGTGTGTGTGTGTTTGTTTTCATCATATACCAGGACAATTTTGTGAATACACACCTTCCATATCAGGACGCGTAGAAATATGAGGACACTAGAGTGTTTTAGAAGCCCCAAAATGCCCCTAAACCAAATATCTCCATTGTCCTAAGAACCTTTGGAAAGGCACGTATACATTTGTCCTATTTCCGTCATGCGTCCTTATATATAAGGAAAACACGTATGTGTGTGTGTGTGTGTGTGTGTTTGTGTGTGTGTGTGTGTGTGTGTGTTCGGGTGTGTCTGAGGGGGCATATTGAGGTGTTGTGGGGGCAAGGGCTGCAGCTGTGCTCAGAGTAATAATATACAAAGAGAAAGATAGCACCTCTCATCAAACTTATCAGCACTATTTTGCAGTGGGGTGTGTGTGTGTGTGTGGGGGGGG